TCACCACCCCCTGGGGGTTACCACTTTTAACTTCAGGGGGAAAAACCTGGCTCAAACCACTACAGACTGGTTCTCTCTGTTCTCTGCAGGCACCTTGTAACCCCTCTGCCTCAGTCTTCCCACCTGCAGAAGGGGAAACCAGCAGGAGTTTTTGTCTGTTTATCCATGAGTCACTCTGAAGATACAAGGGACAACACAGAAGGGAGGAAGAAAGAACCAACAGGTGACAGCTTATACCACTACAGGTGTGTCACATCAAGCAACAACAGCGACTTTCTATTTCCTTCCTGAAGAAGAATCAGGGTGGTGAGAACAATGAGCAGGTGTTGGATAAGCAAGAAATTGTAGCACTAATGTCTGCAAATGGGCAGCTTGGAAGCTGCTGAATTTAGTAGTTAATGAATATCCCCCTGAGCAAACCATTCTGCAAGTGATACTGGGGACCAGTGCAGGAAAGGAACAGAGTCAACATCTATTTCTGCCTGGCAAAAGCAAACAAGCCAACACATGCAGAGTGTGGTCGTTGTGATTCTCAGAGAATATTAGCAAAGGATAAAACCTGCATAACTGCCATAAATTATAAAAGCGTCCCTCAATCTTGGTTAATTCTCTTGTAAAAAGGGAGGGAAAAAATTGGAGCAGCTCAGCATGAAAACAATTGTTGGAGGGTTAATAAAGAGACAGCATTGAGGTATCTAGTTGCTAGCCCTGATATCATTAAGTAAGTGCACTAGAAATGTCGAGGTAAATGCATAACAGTGAATCACAGTCAGGCATGATTAACCTTGGGTAGTCTGAACTGGAAATCATTTACAAATACAAAGGTACTGAAGAACATCCCAACAGACACCGAAAGTCATTCCAAGAGCAGGAGTCATGCTGAGTGCTTTGTGTATGCATGCCATTTTTTAATTATTGTCATATTTTGCATGTGGGAGGATGGAAGATCTCAGACCCCTCACTCATGGAGGAGTTTCTGTGGCATTGCAAGGTCCTTAGAAACATGTGTACTGGTTGGAATCATTTTGCCTTGCACACAAGTTTTATAAAATTAAAAGTTTTAGTTGCAACAATCCAAAGCTTACTGAGAGGACACAGTTTTTGCCAAAGAAAGACTAAAATCCTATAAATTCAAATATTAAAGAACCAAAGAGCTCTCTTTCTTTATTCACTCCCCACTCCTTAATACAGTCTGTAGCCCTCCAGACTACAACTGGTAAAACCAGGGGGGGGAGAAGGATTTTAACAAAAACTATGTGTTTTTAACAAAAACTGTGAAAGTCCTCTGACCCTTGAAAATTGACCCTCTTATCATAAAACCAAAAGAACAAAACATTGCTGGATATTTCTGAGCAGTCCTAAAAGTTTAGAAATGCTCATTGAAGCTGTAACCATATGACCCTTAAAGAGCTATATATATTGAGTACAACAACAACAAAATTCCTTCAAATCCACAATTCTCATGGCTTTAAAAGCATTCAATTACAAGGAACATGACAATTACAAGGAACATGAATCAACTGGGGAAGACTCCAGACAGCTTAACACCTTTGTATCTTCTGCTGCAATTCTTCAGTGCCAGCTCAGGTGATTATTGTGCACGAAGTGGTGAAGGCCACAGGAATATTGTGCAAAACGACACAGCTCTGCTCAGATTTCCTTCCTGCTTTCTCATCAGTTTCATTCTCCTAAATCATCTCAGTTATCCTTAGCATTGTAATAACTGCCCTTATTTAGCTGCCTCATTAGGATGCTGTGTCAATTAATGTGCATCATCTAATACATACTAGTTTTTTAATGTTTAATATTATTATCAGTGGAGTGCTGTATCATACCAAGTCTGTCTAGGGAGTTAATGCATACAGGAAAAAAAACCCTATGCATAATGCCATTCTGTATGATTACTGTCCCCAAACCCCTCTGAACAGACCACCACATGTCCTGCACTCTAGGTTTCTATACTTTGGGAGCTTACAGGTAGCACCTTTGGCCCTGGTGCTGCAGGTGTCAGAGTTACATTTGTTTTTGAGGACCTGGAGACCAGTGGACAAGGCATGAGGAATGTCTTGATGCGGAGACGTCATGTACATGCTTGGTGCACAAATGCCTCACTGCCTGATTCAGGAGGGTAATCAACCTGTCCTTTGAAGCTGCATAAATAATGTTTGGATGGAGGTAGTATATCTACACCAGGGATGAATTAACTGCCATTGAGTCATATAAACTTGGCTTGAGTGTGTGGCTTGTAACATGCCTGAGGAAAATAAAAAAGACATTTTAAAGAAAGAAACATTAATTTACTCCTCCTCATCTTCTCTGTTATTTTCCTCTAGGCAAACATGACTTACTTTGTGGGATTTTTTTGTTGCTGTTTGTTCCATTTTCACAGGGAAACACTGATTCACAGTGAAATGAATTCACAGATTCTCCTGGTCAGGCCTGAACATGCCATCTCTCCTATATCAATGTTGTTCCTTTTTAGCACCCCTGTCAGGAGATGCCAACTGGACTCCTTTGACACTCAGGGGAGTGACACTTCACAAGAAGATGCAGGCTTTTCTACTCACAGGGATCCCTGGCAGCATTCATGCCTCCTTGCACACCCCTGCAGCTCCTAGCTGGGCACTGCTGGACCTCTCATCCAGCTGCACAACGGCATAGCCTTCTTCATGTGTGCAAGGGAAGAGTACATCCCATACTGTGGACAAACCGAGCACATACACTCACATATCCATGTGTGTGCCGGCACTGCAGGTCCTTCTGGCTGTGCATAGTGTACACAGGTGCAAGTTGCTACACCATCAAAAGAGCAGAGAAAGTCTGTATCCATGACTGCCTGAGATACCAGGGAAAAAGCCTGTCCTAGAAGAAGGTGGAAAAGAGAAGAAACTCGTGGAAGGCCAACAGCAGGGTATCATAAAGAGAACTGAGGCATCGGTGTGTGCCAACATATCAACATGATTTGCATTCCTTCACTATAATGCTCATGGACCCAGCCCTCTACTGAGTAACACGTACACTTTAGTTTATTAATGGCTTTTACTTGCATCACTCTCTCTTCTTTCTTGTTTTCAGTGTTTGACCTCTGGTTTTCTCTTCTGCTGTTCTCACTTTTGTATCTCTTTCTGAAAACGTGATGTTTGCAATTCTTTTTTCTACTTCTTAGCTGTATCCCCCCTCTCATTTTCTTCCTCTTCTTTCGGCACGGCACTTGCTGGTTCCCTTCCTCTCATCTCCTCTTTTTTCTTCTGCCTCCTTTTCTACAGAATTTCTTTAACTAGAGGGGCCTCTGCTTCTTGAACGCAGTCATTTATCAACAGTAACCAGTTGTTTCTACCTCTAAAAATTGTTCTGGGAACCAATGTACGCCTTAGAATATAGTAACAATTTAAAGATAAGCATTATAAATATACTATATCTGGTAGACAGCACAGTTTCAGAAGGGTGTACTAAGATATCTTATTAGGCAAGGAACCTTTCACACTAGACCAGATTCTGAAGTCTGTTCTATCTAATACAGCCCACCATATGACACAGTATGTAGTCTCAAACCAAATTTGTAACCATATTGAGGTGTATCTCTGAACTCATATTTTGGGTTCAGAGATACCACTATTGTGGGTTCACAGATCGTACAGGATCCGATGAAAGAGCAGAAAGGAACATTCCTCATCAATAAAATACTGTCTAACTAGAAAAAAACACTTTGGAGGACAGCTTACGTTTTACATATTGCTAAATATGAGCAAAAATAAATATGTTCATTTCTCCAAAATACCTCCAGATGGCATTAAAACCCTTCTTCTTTTGGTTCTTACTGCAATATTATTTTAAAAAATGATAATTATTGGAATCATTCTTTAACCGTTCCCAGCAATCATACTATCACAAGGCATAAGGCTGCTAATGCTTAATTCATTTAATAAGTTTGGCTAAATATGCTTGCATACTATAATTACATTCCACAACACAATCTGCAGGACAAGCCATTTCTTACACTGTGTCAAATCTTTTTCTAGATTCATTTCCAGAAGATTTTTTAATGCGTATTTGCAGCAGAAATCAAAACATCTCACAATAAATCACTGTTATTGTACCTCCTTCTGTGAATACTTTTGGCCATGTAACAAATGGTGACACCTTATGAGATTTACATGATATAATGTTCTGAATTTAAATAACAGGAATCAGAATACATAAATTACGGACCAGACGCATTCTAAAATTCACATGACTGACTGTTACAAGAACTTCCCTCCCTCAAATGGGATTAAAAAGGTGAATGGTTTTGCAGAAATTCATAATGCTCCTGCCTGATAGTTATTAAAAGAATTCACTTATCTCGCTCGGTTTGGGAGACTGATGCTTTTTTTTTTAACTTGCAGCCCATCTGTTTCATAGACTGGTTTATGTTGGTAAAACAATTTAGTCTTTTGTATACTACAGTTAAAAATGGTAAAAGCTTCTATTGTTGCACTAGAGTGAAGGTGAACACTGATATATTACAAGTGCCTGTTCCCATCTATTTCTCGACTTCTTTTGTTAATTCAAAAACATCAACAAAATCGTGAGAGACCAGAGATAACTGTAATTGGATTTCAAGTAATTCAGAGGTGAAGCTGCAGACTGCAGTCTTTTAAAATTACATCAGTACATCAAAGGCATATGTGACATAATGTTTTTTAGCAAGTGTGACAAACTCCAGCAGCATTAAGGTAATGCTGAAGTAAGGTTGTAAAGGCCAGCCTCGCACACCCACAAAAATAATCTCATATCTATTCAGTGTGATATGGAGCCATTTCAATTGCAAAGATCTCTGACTTACTAGCATGCAAAAGTTATAGGAATAATTAATGTTTAGTCATTATCTAAAAAGCCGTTTTAAGAAAAGCATCAGTGAAAGAGATCATCTTAATGAAAACAAACAAATTCTATTTTGCCCAACAAATCTGATAAAAACACAGCTGTCTTCTCTAATTTTAAACGCAAATGTGACTTACGATGTATGGGTTGCGCTTTTCTCTGGGCTCTTTGGCTCTAGATCACTTTTCCCTTTAAAAAAGAAGAAGAAAATGACATCAGAAATGGGTCAATATGGAAACTGCTCAGATGTGACATGTCAATGCTTTATTCATTGCTGACACTGACCACTCTTGCCACACACACACACAAACGGCTGTGGAGGCAACCACAGGGCTGCAGGGGCACCACTGGAGCATTTGCAAGTAGGGGGTCAATCCTGACTTGACTTTTCTTGTCCCTGATACACGTACTCTCTAAATGTCAGGCAGAGAAACTCCACAAGAGAGGCTGCTTAGAGGACACAGGATTTACCAGGGACAGCAGACCCTAGAGCAAAGGAAAGGATTTCTCTAGGGCCCTACAGTTCTGCTACTGAGAGTGTACTCCATACAACACGCACTTGCTCCAAAACCCTGCTCCAGGAACAGTAATTATTTCATACAAAACAAAACAGCATCAGCACGAAATAGTAAGGCAGTGACTAGGGCACAATTCTGCCAATGGATATTGGTTCACATTCATTTTGACAGATAAGGGATGTGTTCTTTTGCAATTGTAAATCGGGGGCTGGGGAAGCTCTCTTTGCTACATATTGGCAAAGGCACTCAGTGTCAGAGAGGTCAGGGGCTTGAGAAGTATCAGAGGCCCAAGGGATGCCTCTTCACATTTCCTTACGACTCACATGGGTCCTGGCATGTTGGCTTGGTGCGACCCCCATACTGGGTCCAAAATAATATATCTGCCCAACACAACTCAGTTACATAGCACAGACAGGGGGAGGCAGGTTGCTGGCTGATGAGGTGGTACTGCTTCTGCTAAGTCAGGCCAAATCCTTTGCCCTCCTTTCTACCCCCCACCCCCCACCAAAACACAGGAAGGCTGATGCTTTTTTTTGTATTTAATGTTCTCTGAGTAACCCAAGAAAGCTGCACTTCAGTGTAAGATTTCTGTTTAGCTCTACCATGGATGTACAGGTTATGCCACTCCACTTGAATCACCTTGAAGTCTGGACCTAGCGACTGTGCAGCTGCTGCTCCTCGTGTGTCACTGGATGCTAATAGCTGTCTATACATGAGTTTATGTTGCCTAGCAGACAAGGAGGCACAGAGGTTGAATGTGACTGGTTTACTGATGGATGTGTTTTTCTCCATTACCTTTTAATGAGCTTTGTTAAACCAAAATCCACCTGTGCCTTCTGAAAAAAACGTGAGAAATGCTTATTTTGGCCAGGCTGTAGTGGTGTTGCCTGATTTTCTGCTCATTGAATTGAGTCGGTTTTGCATCAAGTCCTGGTCAACCTAGTCCACGCATATGAGCATTATGCATCATCTATTTGTTGTTGATAAAGTCCTCACCTTCAGTTTCCATAGAGAAATGGCTGTAAGGGGCACCTCTGGAAAACTTGTTGTTGCCTTCAGAAGAGGCAGGATTTTGGTACCAATGTTCTTCCACTGCTGTACAGAAAGAAGCTGAAGGACCTAGTCTAGGCAGTGACCTTCTGGAAGTAGGTGTCTTGTAGAGGGGGTTCTGAGTATTGCAAACACTTTTAGATCTTGTCCTTCCCCCTCTGGAAGGGTTTGTGTCTACCCAACCGAGGTGCCTAAACTTTATTGAACAGGATGGGGAAAGCTCTGGATGACTTCAAAGCCACTGATGCCTCTGTGGGCCTCTAGAGAGGCCCACCTTCTGTAAGAGGACAGCTAAAGGCACATTAAATTTAGGCATGAGCGGGGCATCCACACAGGACAGAATACATCCACTCCATAATCTCTAGGCTGCTTTTCACTTTTAGCAGAGACCTCAGAAAGTATATCCAAATGATAAACTCACTGGCTAGAAGGCTGTTGCTACAGTATATGTTTGTCAGCCTTAGGGTGCCTGGAGCACTGGAGCTCATCTGCATTATGGTAATTTGGAACAAGAAACCAACAGTAACAGTTGGCATATATTCAAAGATTTTCTATTTGTAACTTGGGCTTTTTCAAAGTCATGAATTATTACCATGAACACTAGTTTGTTTGAGTGTGAGAGGGAATATGGATTCCTGAGTGCTCTGCCAGCAGAGTTCACATTAGTTCTACTTTCAGCAATATATGTTAATGCAGCAACAAGGGAAACAGTATATGTACTGTAAAGAAAGAGGAAATGGAATCTCTGTGATTTAGCCAAACTGGATATTAATGAATTACCCTACACTAAGAATTTGTAGCTGCTTTTATGCTAATTGTCACTTAACATACTTCTGTGTGGAGAGTAAGGACGAAGCCTGTACAGATGGTAAAAACTCATCAGTCCAGCCTATCAAAGTAGAAAATCTGGCCATTAATGCTTTATTTTATTCTCACTTGATTGAATCTTAGAAATTTTAAAAATGTATATAGCTTAAGTATAGTTGAATGTCACAGGTATAGTACAGTTTTTGGTTTTGGACAAGCACATGTAAAAGAGAATTACCTGTCACAACAACTTCGTTTTTTATACTTAGTCTTGGCCCGACTAATATTTGCTCTTCATTTTTATGTAGCCTGCCAAATGCATGCAGGTACCATTGTGGGAGATTGGCATTTGCCAAATTGCTGAATCTTCTCTAGATTCTTCTGGCCTCTTCTTTTGGGCCAGTTAGTGTCATCCTTTGTTTTTTTTAGTCTTTTTGGAATTAACAAAGAACATGCTCCCCACCTTGCTATGGGATTGCTCTTAGCACACCTTATTTCAGGTGCTAGGTGCTGTGTACGTCTCCTGAAACAGGCGTGTCTGTGTGTTGGTGGGTGTATGTGCACACATGCCTCCAGAAGACACACAGTGGAAACCATCAGTCCACAGATCCTTACCCACAGAGCTGGGAGTTCTTTGCTAGTTTCTACCTCATCTCACGCAACTTCTTTCCTAACATTTTTAGATACAAGCAGAAGATATGTGTCCAGATTTCTCAAATTTCAAAATAAATTTCAAATGAACTTCTGTAGGATTTCCCTGCTGAATAGGGGGTGGCCATAAAAAGACCTCTCTCCTCTGAGTTGGAATTTTGTGAATCACTCAACCTAACCAGGACACGTTTCCCTTTCTGGGTAACAGGGATAAATAATATTTATTGTGATGGAGTTGTATAATTTCAGCCATTATCGTTTTTTTAATGCTTTGATTTCCTTGTGGGGGAAGGGTAACAGAAATGCAAATGTTATCCATGAGAAAGACAATGTTGGCAGCTGCAGTAAAACCATTGCAAATTACAGGCTCAAGAGCCACTCCAAAGAAGACACGGTGCAATGGGAAATAACAGCTAATTGGGACTCTGAAGATGTGCATTTGGATAACACAAGGCATAGATCATTAGATTTCTTTTCCACAGAGTAATTTGCTAGTATTTCTTCACATCCTGTACTGGGTTTGCGTGGCAAGGTTTTGGTAAGGGGGGGGCTGGATACAGGGGAGGCTTCTGTAAGAAGCTGCCAGAAGCTTCCCCCGTGTCTGATGGAGAGAGTGCCAACCAGCTCCAACATAGACCTGCTGCTGGCCAAGGCCAAGCCCATCAGTGACGGTAGTAGCGCCTCTGGGATAACAGATGTAAGAAGGCGGAAAGATGCTGCACAAAAGCAACTGCAGCCAGAGACAGAAGTGAGATTATGGGAAGAAGCAGCTCTGCAGACACTGAGGTCAGTGAAGAAAGACGGGGATGAGGTGCTCCAGGTGCTGCAGCACAGGTTCCCCTACAGCCTGTGGTGAAGACCACGGTGAGGCAGTCTGTCCCTCTGCAGCCCACGGAGGTTCATGGTAGAGCAGAGATCCACCTGCAACCAATAGGGGACTCCATGCTGAAGCAGGTGGGTGTCCAAAGGAGGCTGTGACAGCATGGGACATCTGCATTGGAGCAGGCTCCTGGAAGGATCTGCGGGCCCATGGAGAGAGCAGTGTAGGCCTCTAGAAGGACCTGTGGACCCGTGGAGAGAGGAGCCCATGCTGGAGTAGGTTCGCTGGCACACCCTGTGCCCCCACAGGGGGCCCACAGTGGAGCAGTCTGTTCCTGAGGGACTGCCCCTCATGAAAGGGACCCACACTGGAGCAGTTCATGAAGAACTGAAGCCTGTGGGAAGGACTCATGTTGGAGGAGTTTGTGAAGGATCATCTCCCATGGGAGAGATCCCATTAGGGAGCAGGGGAAGAGGGTGAGGAGTGCTCCCCTGAGGAGCAAGGAGTGTCAGAGACAAGGTATGATGAACTGATTGCAGCCTCCATTCTCCATTCCCCTCACACTGGTAGTGGGGAGGAGGTAGAGAATCTGGGAGTGAAGTTGAGCCCAGGAAGAAGGGATGGGTGGGTGGAAGGTGCTTTTAAGATTTATTTCTCATTGTCTTACTCTGATTTCACTGGTAATCAGTTAAATTAATTTCCTTGAGTTGAGTCTGTTTTGCACATGATGGTAATTGGTGAGTGATCCCTCCCCGCCCTTACCTCTGCCCACAAGCCTTTTGTTGTCTTTTCTCTCCTGCGTCCAAGTGAGGAGGAGAATGATAGAGCAGCTTTGGTGGACACCTGGCCCGGGTAAACCCACCATGCATCTGAATAATTTTTTCCCCAAATTTCCTTTGAGTTTGACACACAGGAGTGGTAGAATCTATATCTCACTCTAATGTGTTTATTTGATGTCTTATTCCAGCACCTCAACAGGAATCCTCATGAATACAGTCTCAGAGGTAGTCAAACTCTCTCTGTGATGTTAGGAAAAGTGTCTGGGTGTCCGACAGTGACCTGAACTTTTGCTACCAATGAATAAAATGTTTCTGCATTGGTTCAGCTATTCTTTGGTTTGGTTGCCATCAGCCAGTCAGTACCAAGTCTGGCTTCTGCACAGCTGCAAATATATGCTGATTTTTTCTAAACAGGATGAATGAAGAGATAAGCAGCTGGAGGTACTATGGTGTAGGAAGGCAGAAGGGAGAATTGGAAGTGAAGTGGAGTCAGAGACTGCTGGAGTAAAGAGTAGGGGAAACTTTTAAGGATGTGGGATCAATTGCATAATCTACAGGAAAGTGGGTTTCATTAAATCTGCAGAATAACCTATTTTATTCAATTGCTGAAAGAAGGAAATATTCAGCTATGACCAAAGCTGGCCAAGTACTGTGGCCTCTGATGTTATTGCAAAGCCCTCAGCTCAGCTGGTGTGTTTGTCATGCTTGTGCCTCTGCCTGTGTTTGTGTAGCCCTCTCTGTTATGGCTCTTTTGTGCTTCCTTCTCTCATTACTGTATTCATTATTTTCTGACAGAACCTCATCCCCTTTGCCTTTTATTACTTCCTTAGTGCTGGTACTTGAACTGATATCAAACCAACGCCAGCGATTAAGTGACACCACTGCATGTTTCTTCACAACATTGCCTTCCACATGCTGACCTTTCCCCAGGAAGAGCCACACTGTTTTAAAAGCCTACATCTCCCAGCCTTGTCTCTCTGGATGTCTTTTCCCTCACGCAGTGAGTGACTAGACCCTTTCAAAGCCCTAGCTACAAGCTCAGGGCCCTAGCTACCAGCTCAGGGCACTTTTCGTCTTCAGTCACAGCCCTGCAATTTGCAAACAGGGCTCTGTGTTGGCTGACAGGTCAGGAAGCTAGCAAAATAATTCCTCTGGTTGCAGTCATTTTATGTGGAGAGTAGGATAGGATCATGTATTTTTAATATGCAAGACAACATCAACAACCGTCAGAGGTGTCAGGGGAGACGATTAATATTTTGTTTTGCAGAACAATTCAATCTTCCCTTTCAATACAGGTGCTAAGTTTGTTACCGTAACTAAATGTAATTAAAATGCTGCTGATCTGCACCATAATTTGTAAACTGGAGTCCACCGAAAAGCCCTAACCAGAAGCTAAACAAGCAAATATCTCTTCCCTACCCACAATGCTAGCCAAAAAGACCCATGGCCATATGGTCTTCAAAACATTATTTGGTGTTAGTTTGGCAGGATTTATGTAGCTTATTACTGTGCAATGGCCACAAAATACACCCTTGCCTATGAAAGATAAATGATAACAAGTCTTCTCGCAGAATTTTCTGGCAGTCTGGATCTGAGCCTGCAATTAGGTCAGCTCTTTTCTGGCTCTCCAAAAAAACCCACTCTTTTACCCTTTCAGTCTTTCTCATTTGCATAATGAAATGGCCATAACAAAATTAATACTTTTTGTTCTTCTAAGGTCACCAAAAGATGTGACATTTTGATGGTCACTCTTCAGTTTGGTTCTCCACATTCTGCCACATAGCTGAGTACTGCCTGCCGAGGATCTGCACTGTCCCAGTCTGCTACTAGTCCCTTGCTCATCAGTTGCTTCTTTTTCATAGTCATTGTCACCCCCCTCCCCAATGTAGCTAGAAAATGAGTTGGTACTTACTTGTATTGCTGTGTCCTGTAGATCCCTGTTGTGACTCCTACAACAATAACAGAAAAAAAGGTAAGGTGTGTTATTTTACAGCAATTTTTAGCTGCAATACTTGCTTGGACATTACCTTAACAATACAAACAGCACTGATGATTGTTCATTTGGTTTCAAAGTAGTTTTCAATTACAAGAATAAATCCAATATTTCTTGGAAAATCCATTAATTCTAAGGCTTGTAAACTTATTTCACAACAACCTTTTAATGGTGCAATTCCTTGTATAGCAATTATGACCCTCCTGCTCACTATTCATTTATTGATCAGCCAAAACTTGTCTGTTAGCTTCTACAAGTTTAGATGAGAAGACAGAGGGAAGACCAATATTGCTTCATGGACCATTGGATTCCTGAGATGGTAGCACAGCTGGTCTTTCTTTTTCTCATGTTGACATTGACAGCATCAGACAATGGAAATACAGACTAGTTCTGCATCCCTGAGATTACAAGGTCAACCTTGTATGACAACAGCAATATCTGTGAACATGGTGCAATAAATCAGACTATTGTTTCCTCATGTGCAAATGTTCACTCACTGCGTTTTACTCACAGAATTTGTTTGCATTCATAAAAACATAAAAGAAGGGAATAGAAGGGAATACAAACTATAACAAAAAGATATTTAAATTAAGAGAAAGAAGAATACTTTGTTATGGATGACAGCAGGGAAGGTATCCTGTATATAACCCTGCCTCTGAATAACCCAGACACACAAAGGAATGACATCTTCTATACATGCTGCAGTTACAACTGCAGCTAAGACTACTCAGAGAGGCCAGGCACCCACAGCAACACATGTGGTCATTTTACTGAGGAAATGGGCTCTAGACCGGATCCCTGGTCCTCAGAGGCCGAGTGATGAGCCAAACACACAGATCATCAAGAAAGGAACTGCAAGTCTCCAGAAAGCTCAAGGATGCTCTGACTTGGCCAAGCTGAGATTATGCTGCTAAGTCCCTCAGGAGCACGTCTCAGGGGCTCGGGTCCCAAGAACTTCTTGGCCCCTCTAAACAGACATTGGGTGGACTGCAGGATCTGGGGTCTTGAAGGCTCAGCTGATCAAAACCCTTCGATCTGCACAATTTGCTCTGGAGTCAAGGCTCTCCAGACTGCATGACTTTGATCTGTAATTTTAATACTACAATACACATCAGCAACTCACTTCCATCCTACACACCTGTAATGCGAGATGTCAAATTTCTGGGCAAGCCCTCAGAATTTCTATCTTCTACTGCAATATGAGAAAATCTGTACCATGTTTCACATGCTGAGAGTAATTTCTCAGTAATGTGAAACTGTGCACTTTTGACAAATTGAGTCGGTTTTTTGTGAATGTTTCTGATGAAGAGAAATTAAAGGCTGTTTTTTTCTGAATGTAATCTTTAAAAGTCAAGATCAGTTTGCAGCGGTGATATAATGGTACATACACTTGAATTTAAATGCTATTCTTGTAGCCTGTCACACTCCCAATAAACATAGACTATTAGAGCATGTTCACCCTCATATTTGTAAAAGTGTTTGCAACTTCTAAACAAGGATCTTGCTTACTCTTTTACATTTTCATTAACCTCCTGTTTAACTGCCTAGCACAGTATCTTAACTCTGCCATTGACTAAAATTTAATTTCAGCCAAACATGTAAACTGTACACATTTTCACGTTTCCTTTTAACCAGTTCTTTAAAATTTGTTGATTCTCAACAAATTAGTCTTAATGATAAAGGCTAATACAAATATCTCATAGGGAAATACAGAATGCTTCCACTGAGGTAGAAAAAAAGTATGGCTTTATGTAACTAAAAAAAAGCTGAAGTCTTAATTTCCGAAGATTATTGTCCAGCGTATTTCCTCCAGCTTGTTTAAATCAACAAGAAAGGAAAAAGTAAATTAATTGAGCATGTAAAGAACAACATCACTATGATAACTTAGCTTCTGCTGAGAATAATCACCCAATAGCTTTGTGACAAGACACTAGTTCACCTGGAGTGGGTAAATTAATTCTCAAATAACAAAATGATGGCTGATCCCATAATATCGCATATACATAACCAGAAATCAAACACCTGATCAAACTTTCAAGACATGAAATCACAGGAAAAATGAAGAAAGAGAGCAAAGCAGGCAGCAGAATTAACAGCATTTTTTTCTGCACAAGAGAACTAATACCTGAAGATGAAAGCTCATTTGCACAAGCATCAAGTGAGCTCTTACTTACAAATTTAATTATTCATTTAAAGCTTATTTATTAAGATACTTTTAATAAAATTACAATAATGAAATGCCTGATCATTTGTGCATAATGAAGTGTGGCAGAGACAGGAGAAAGGAAAGCACACACAGCCTATCACATCACACACTGATTCAATTTTCCTTAAGCTTTGGAAAACAAGAAATAAAGAGACTGTCATTGCCCATTCCTAGTAAATTCAAGAGTACAAATTAATTCCAGAGAGAAAGAAAATTCAAAATTAAGGATGAGAAGTAACTTTATGCCCTCCATTACATAAAGGACAGCTCTCTAATGGTATTCTTCCAGCAGCGCTGTACTTGGAAGACTACTGGGCATTGCCACATGTGTCAAACCTGACCCAGACTCTCCTTCCAGAATGTGAATCAATGCAGACCGCCCACGTTAATGAGGTCTGATTTCATACGGAAGTGCAACATATGCACATACATCCCCTCCATCAAATCAGCATATAGTTATAATGATGGATACATCCACACGTGCAGTTTCAAATGTGCAATTCTGTTATATTTGTGATATATAAATCTCAGTTATTTAGCTTTTATTACTAGACTGATTTCAAAACCAGTCTAGCTACAGTTGCTGTGGCCTTTGCAACTTTAATAGCCTAATTAATAAATTTCAAGTGTCAAGCTGTCAGATCGCTAATTACTTGAGTTGCAGGTTAAAAGCAGTGTGGCATGTATGAGAACTAATGATGCTGACACTCAGTTCTTATGGACAGAAAAGTAATTATGATTTGCACCCTTGCAACAGGGTAGGAGTCCTACAAGCTTCTTTTCTTCCCATTTCCAAAATGATGAGTATCTTTATGCTTGGAAACTGTCTTCTGTTAAAAGGGATTGCAATCTACTTGCTTCTCTTGCTGGAAGAGTCATTGCAAATGAATTGAACTGATCTCTCAATACTGACATTAAGACTGAAAAGGAATTCATGTTACCATGCATGGCTTGGAACTAAGAGATAAAGCTTATGCCCCGAATTTAGCCTTTCAGTCTCTTTGTTGGTCTTGGTCACTACTTAACTGACAGGCCCATTCATCTGAATAATGCACAATCCACAACAGTTTGGTGTAGTCCTCAAGCTTTAAAAAGCTGGGACAGCTATGTTGTTTACTTACAGGAAAACTTCTTAAGAGCTATGGAGACATCCCCTACGAAGTCCAATAATGATTTTACTCCATACTTTGTGAAAAGCAACAGCTAACTTACGAAGGTTTAAAAAACACGTTTGAAAAATTAGGAAACCATTCTTTGCATTTTGGAGCCTGAAAAGCAGATGCCTTCTGAAATCCATGACTGCAGATTCAGACCAAGCCACAGACTTTTAATTATTTGAAAATATTTTAAAATAGAAATGGTGTCTATAATTAACATAATCTATGGTCAGTAATACAGGATTGTTCCAGGACTCTGATGAGTTTTTTAAGGTATTTCTTCCCCATCTCACACAGAGCACTCAATTTCTGACCATTCAGACCACTCAGACCACAATACAGTTCTGAGGTTATTATATGTACAAAAATAAACTTATATACTGCTAAATGAAAACTTGTCCGTCCTAAGCTTAAAAAAAAAAAAAAAGAAATTCTACTTTGATAAGAGAAAACACCTTAAAAATTATCTTTAAAAATGAATGATAGACCTCTGAAATGGCTCTGCAATACAGAAAATTTCCCAGAGAGATGGCTGAACAGGCAGACAGAATATGAGAAAGTCAATTATCAAGCATTATTCACATACGTTTGCTCTCTCATCCGTGCTTCTCCTATTCCTGTATTTATCACAATACATTTAGTTGTGAGGAAGTGCATTCACGATGGCCACACACATACTCTGACAGGTACGTGTATGCACCTTGCCTATGCACATCTGTATACATGCCATGCAAGCACATAGTGTGGTGGTAATTGTGTCAGAAACTGCAGAGCTGCAAGCACTGCTTCACTTTGTCACCCCTATCTGGCACTTCACCTGCTTGTAAGCTGGTGATCCATCTATGTCCTACTGGACTTACCCTAACTTAACAAGCCTCTAGCCCATCTACCATCTTTAGTCATCTGTCTGACTTCAATGAGAAAATTGTGACTTATTTCCTTCTTTTTTTCCATAAAATGCCAGAGATATTTTGGGTTACACCCCTGATACTTCAAAATTGTGACACTCTCATCCACAGAAAAGGTGTTTTACTGTAGGCAAATGAAGTTTTCTTGGCTTTCTGGTTACAATTATTCCCTGGACTAAATTTTGCAGAATGGACTTAAAAGTTGCCAAAGGAACTTGCATTAACAGGAGAAAGACTATAAACAGCATCAACTTTCAAGCTTGAACACTTCATGAAATATGCTTGTGACATCTAAACAGTATATGGTGATACAACGTGAAGTTTATTGGCTCTTGCACGGGATAGCCGATTTCATTCCCTCCTGACTTACCATGTATAAATAATGCGGTTTCCCCAAGCTTGTGCTGATGAGCTTTATCACGCCGCACTGCGTCTTCCCTGGGATACATAACAATAGTGGAGCTAGTTTTAAGGGACCATCAGCAGGACCAGTGGCTTTGGTCCCTTGAGGGAATCAAATACTTCCCCGGCAAATGCTTCCATGGCCCCTCTGGGCATCATGGCACTGGGCTGCCTGCCTCTCCAGCAAAGTTGCCCATTGAAGTCAGGTTGATGGCAGGAGATGTATGCCCAATCCTCAGTCCCTGACTGCAGAGGCCAGTGTAAAGGCCACCTCAGATCTCAAAGGCTTCAACAAAAATTTCAGCTAGTGAAGCCAAATGATGCAGGAGCAATGGGTGCAAGGAGGAGCTTCCTGACTCTCCACAGCTGTATGTGCCCTGAGGCAGGAGCTTCAGCAGGTGCCCACAGAAAACACCACATCTGGACATCCCATTTGAGATGCTGCAGTTTTGCCTTGCGGTGAGGAATCTGTGACCCAACAAGACTGTATAGCCTTCCTGAGGCTGTAAGCAGGGAAAAAGCAGGGAATACTGGGACACATACGGAGAAGATCATCAGCACAGCATCAACCTCAGCCTAGAGACCTCACACACTCAGTCAGGGCTTGTGTAGGACATATTGTAAGGTGCAGGAGGAATGGTGCTACATGATGCTGCACATCTTACCTTATTTGAGAATGGAAACTTGCTTTGCTCTGCCTTTCCTGGTGTGTGAATAGCTGACAGTGGTGGAGGCCATGAATGGGTCATCTCCTGAAAAACAATGTAATTCAGCAAACCGTGTTTAGAAAGTCAGTGGAACAGGAGACAATGATAGCATATCAGTAGCAAGAGTGCCTGGGTAGTGCAATATTTAAGTTGTTGCAGTTTCTAGGAAATGCCCAGTTTTCACATAATCTAGACACTACATGAGCTACAATGATTTTTACACACTCTTGAGAGTAGTTATTAAGCACTGTTTCATTTTCCCAAATAGATAATGCATCTCAAGTGCAAGAAGTTTGATTTTTCTGACAATCTACAAACACATTTTAATCACACAACGTATTCTGGCTAGTAAGACTAACATGAAGCATGGGAATAGAAATTTCAGTTCATGATCAAGTAATGGGGTACACACTATGTGCTCACCACAAAATAGATTTCATAGACAAGGTCAGAATAGTAAATGCTTAGCACTTGCTCAAAACTTAATTCTTACAATTGCCTTTATCATTGTGAAGGAGTTGAATAAGTTCCTAACAACAATGTATTTGTGCCTTTCAGGACACAGATATGTGCCAAGCCCTAAACAAGGTGTCCTGCACTCCATCTTTGTCTCCTCCCTGTGTTGTCTTGAGGGACATTTTTTAGTACCTAAGAGACAGGTCAGCTTGACCTGACTTGTATGTGATCATCCTTGACACAGCTTCAGGTAGCAGGTTCAATACGGTTATCATTCAAGCCTGAATGAGTTGGTCTCCAAAGCAAGGCTGCTTTTGGGGAGGGGTAAATTAAACACTTCAGACAAGAAGTTCGTTAAGAGAGAGGCTTCATATTCCTCTCTAGTGCAGGATGTTAAGGGATGGACATGTTTTTTTGACATGTTCAGCACTAACAGCCATAATATTTGGTACACAGTAACTTAGAATTAATATGAGAAGTAGTGCCAAGTGTGACAACCCTAAGAGCTGGCCCATACGTTTGAAGAGCTCAAGAGCAAATAACATCCTGCCTAAGCAGGGGGCTTGCTGACACTATCAAGAGCTTGCCTGGCAGATGCTTTACTGGGTTATGCTACCCTTAGCTGACTGTGGAATTGTTTCTCAGTGATATTCCAAGGAGTCATGCAGAGATCCACAATCAGTCCCAAAATAATACTGGAGTTATATTTCTATGACTCATTCTTTTTTAAAGAGAAAATGTTCTTGTTTGGGAAAAAGTGCATGTGAGTCTCTTGCCCATCCTTCGTTAGCGCTGATGGAACTGCTTCCTGACCCAGCATGGACTGAGCTGTGGCATTTTTTACATAGTGGAAAGTCTCTGACTGTTCTGCCGATAAAAGGTTCAGGCCTTTCAACATAGTTTATTAGTAATAAATGTCACCTTTAAAGCATTCTTGATAAACAGTTTATTTCCTAATAAAAACTGCATTCTTTTATTTTATTTGAGGCTAAAAAGTTACATGATTTATTATATGTCTGTAATCTACATGCGTGCCTCTAATCAGAGCATCATCTGGTTTGCAGTTTCTGTATCAGAATTGCTTTGCTTTTCAGTTCTTTGAGTCAGATCATTCATCTTATGACTTTCTTATCTGATAAGTGCCAGCAATAACAGGATATAGTAATTTTTAATATACAGTAACTTCTTAAAACTCAGGCAACAAAAATCATAGGCAATCATATTGTTGTTTGCTACAAATACCTGGCACACGTACTATTGTTTGCAAAAGATTAAGGAATTACATATTGAGAATTTTTCCAGTGGTAAAGGTTTATGACAATAAATTGACAAAAAGGAGATTTGCAATGTGGATATTTAACCCTAAAGCTGTGACTAAAAAAAGCATAATTTTCAAACCTGCTTTTCTCTGCTTTTCCCTTACGGGACCATTTGCTTACTTTGTAGAAAATGTAATGTTGCGTATATAGACTAAAGGTGTTTCCACCAGTAAATCCTGTTCCCAAAAAAGAAGGGTTTTTCCCTACAAGTTCAGGTGCTGAGCCCAACAGAATGCATAGGAATGTTTACGTGTCCCTTTCTTCTGAAGGGCAATGCTTCACATGATCTCTGTCAATTGAAGAATGGGAGCAGACAGACTGGGAACATCTGGTGGTTTTGACCTGAAGTTATCCTACTTGTGAAATATTCTACTCAGTACTTATGAGTTCCATTTGCTCAAGAAGCAGTTCTTCCAGGTTATATGACTGGTGACCCCCACTGTCACCTTCAGGGAAACATCTTCTGAGGAGTCTGCTATATGCCATGCAGAAATCAATCTGTTATGGCAGCAGAGCTCCTTCCTCCCACCTTGCCTGCCTGAGTCTGACAATGATGCCTTCATCCAGGGAAAGGACCAGAGGGCTGATTAAAAATATGGGTGACCTTTTTTTGACATGTCAAAATCTTTCATTTCTTCTTTTTCCCAAGATTATTTCTCATCCACACTTCAATGAAAAATAGCCTTAATGGTCTTCTTTTTCTTCTTTTTTTTTTTCCCAGCTAGCTTCTTTCCTCCTTTTTTACTTTGAGTTGTGGTATATAATAATGCTTTCTACATAATTTAAATTTGATGTAACCCTTTCTGACACAAAGATTTAGTAAGACCACTGATATCTGTCAGGGTTAATAATTGCCATTATCATGAATAGCTGAATGGAAATTTACTAGAATAATATATTGAGTTGTGATCATATGGTGTATTTATCACTACACTTTGAAATTCAGACAACTAGAAAATTAAATTGAATTAGGAAAAAATAATCAGAAAACTACCATGAAAAATATCCCAAACTATAAGTTGTCACCACTGAGGAGTGGTAAGATTTAAATGTAGTAAAATATTTTTTAAAAAGAGAAACATTAAACTATGTGCACAGACTTCTTCTGGCTGCCAAGAACAGAATCTCAAAACTCAGGAGAAAGGATTTAGATGTCCAGCAAGTGTCAACACCTTGCAAGGTCAAACAGAAACAACCCTAGAATATGTTGCTGTGTGCCAAATCTTGGGATTTTAGACTCAATTTGAAGATATTTGAGACAGATTAAAAAATACTAGTGGTGACATATGATGAAGTAAAGATCAATTTTTTCAGTACACTGTGTTAAATGTTTGAAAATGCAAACCCAAATGGCCACTATTTAATTAACTAAACAGAAAGGACTCAACTTTTAATGTTAAAATTAGCTTTCATGCACAGTTTCTCTTCTCTGCTCAGGTAACTTGCCTGTCTTTGGAGTTTGGGATTGGTAGTACTGGCATAAAGCACCCGCTGGACTGAAAACTGTTTTGAATTGACTGACGAAAATTTAAATGTACTTAAGATCCTCAGAAGTTTCAGCTTGGTGTTAGAACATTGATTGACACAAAAGATTTTTGAAATTAGAAAGAGAAAAAAAGCAAATCAAACAAAAAAATAAGTCAGAAACACCTGGCATCAGAAAATGTTCTAGCCACTACAAGATAATGGTCTAATTTAAAACCAATTTAGATCCTTCTTCAAAATTGATTATATTAAGCTTAAAGTCCTAAACAATGTTAACTAAAGAAGGTACTGACATTTGGGGTCCAGAAGTGGGAAAAACAAAGACTTTTGGATCAAAGAAGGATGCCCTGACTAGACTGCTTAAAAATACATGTGAATGAGCATGTGTGCCTAACTGCAGGACAGCTTGTTTGAGATGACAGTGACTGCCCTCCTCCTCCTGCAGCCAGATGCACAAGTCCGAGGGGCAGCTCTGAGGCACTCTGTTTTTAAACACACATTTCTCCTTGTGAGGGTTGCAGTGATGTTGTTTTGCACAGACATCTTGGTAGTGGTGGTGGTGCTGGTGATGGCATGTCTCATTCACACTCATGCTGTAACTCTACAATTCCGCAACTCTACTCGTCTCTACTTGCAGTAAATCAGTTTTCAGCAGTCATACATAAATGTCCACTTTTACAAGCTATAAAGGTCCAAGCCTAGTTAATCTTACTCAATGTGCCAACTTGGCTTTTCTTCTTACTGCAGGGAAAACCTTCAAATAAAGAAATCTATAGTATTGCATATCCTTGCTCCAAATTCAGTTTCCGCAGCAACAATTAAGTAACCAGACATTTCTTCTGGATTAATGACTGCTTGGCAGTGTTTTGTTTGGGGCTTTTAACCCTAGCTTGTAAGTAATTTTTCAGGAAAAGTACCATGCAGAGGTAAATAATAGTATTCACTCTAGACTTAAGGCAGTGCTATTTATCTAGTGCCATCAATCTTGCTGTGTGGCACATGATACCAGGAATGGTTGAACTGATTCAAAAAAATTGTGATTAATAACAAGTAGGGAGATAGGTATCATCTAGATTTAAAGTCTAGCCATATGTATAATCTTGGTGTTCATTCACTGCCAAAACCAGAAATTATCACTGGGTCATTACGAAAATTGACTGTTTAATCCTCCTCTCTGCTTGTGCTCGCCTAGCCAATTTTTGATTAATAATATTTTGTATCTCCACACATGATGATTTAAGAAATATTTGTAGCATCTCATAAAGGACCCTGTCAAATACCTTTTGAAAATTATTTAAGCTGACTCAACTTCATCCACTGCTTTACTGACATGTCACAGAATTATAGGAGATTCATGAGACACAATTTTCCTTTGCAAATATTCTGCTGGTTAGCTCAGGGGGACTGGAGAGGATCTGTCTTTGTAGTTACCCACACTGAAATGCAGATTTTAGGGGAAGCATTAGATATGTTTATTCAGTTGGAAGTCAGGGAAACGTAAAGCTAATGGAGAGCTTTCCAAGACCCTTTAGCAAGTGATCACAGGACACAGTTTGAGAACCTCTAATCCAGTTACTCTCTTGTCTTCACATTTATTTTTTTTTAACACAGGAGACTTTTTAACTGCTGTCAGTTGGCAAATATCCCTTTCAGTTCCGTGAAGCTACATTGCCACTAGTTGACAACATGGCTGTAATTTTAGTGTCAAACACCCAAAGCAAAGAGTCTGGCGCTGAAACTTGGAGACTATGTTGAAACTGACAGCATTTCACTATGGGAAGGTTC